AGCATATGTTAGTGCATGTGTATGTTACCAAAATTTGAATTGAAAGTAAACAACCTTTAAATAGTTAGATGTGTGATTGATCTAATCAGTCAAATGTATTATCATGACTTATTAGTTATGCAATTGTATGTCTTCAAAAAGTATACTCCCTCCGTTCTAAAATGATGTTCTTATTTAGAATCTTTGACTTTTTAAAAATAAGAGAGAATCTTTTTAATTTCTCTCAATGTATAAGAACAAATATAATTATGTGGAATCTAGTTTGATTCATCTTGATGAGTACATTATTAATATCTAACTTTTATAATTTTTGCTAATGTGATACTAAAGATATTTGCGATAAAAGATGGGTAAAAAATTATATCGATTTACGTAAATAAGAACATCATTATAAAGCGAAGGGAGTGGTAAATAATGGAGTAATCTTGAAATAAGCTAAAATTTTGAAAAGCAAATTGAACGTCAATCATGTACAAGAGATACACTTAGGGCGGTTCGGTTACCCTATACAAATCAATGCAATAGCAACAACTAAAACCAGACATAACCAATAACATTATATATACTAATAATAGTGATAAGGTTAGGCATAGCCAATCAATTATAATAAGCTCAGCTTGAAAGAGATGTGTTAAGAAGAAAAGTGCATAAAAAGCGCAAGTAGAGCGACCAGGGGGGTTCCACGTGGAATTAGACGAGTGCTAATTGGTGGGGTTTTTGATTAACTCATTTATAAATATCTAGCTGGATCTTCTCTCAGATATTTTTCATTGTCTTCTTAGAATATTTATTATACTAGGTATTCATTGCCAACTTTCAAGGTTGAATGAATATGTCCCTTAGCTAAGTAGAAAGGAAACATGACGGTTTCCTTTAAGCATCTCTATTGGGGTATGATTGAATGTATGGACAATGGAAGTTATCCAAGAAAATAGTGCACATTTCTAATTCTCTATGTGTTTTTTGTACGGAGTACTAGTATATTGGTCCTTAGTCTCACGAGTAGTAACTACTAACGATACTAAGTTATTTTACTAGTAGTGTTACAGGAAACAATGAAAGCTGCAACTATTTTGATGATCAGTTTATAATTTGAAAAAGTAAAAAAAAATAACAGTATAATATAGAGTTTGTAAAAGGTGATAAGTTGATAACCAAGATCACTTTAAATTTATTGATATTATAGATTGGCGAAAAGTTGCTTAATTGTACTTATATATGTCAATATGATTCATGATTTTATGTAATAGAAGTGAGCTGAGCTAGAATTGCTTGTTTAATGTATTGTCTTAATTAACATAAGTGTATTTGGATTTATTGAAAACAAGAACAGCAATTTTGCTATCATAGCATGACATTGTTTAATTAGTACTAGTACTTCATTATTAGTAGTAGTACAAGTATATACGTAATAGTAATGATGAACAGAATTTTCATTAGTTATGATTGGTACTGTACATTGTTAATTAGCATCCAAAAGGTACATATTAGTAGGGTAAGAACATAGCTTACTAATTAAATCAATGGGCCATAATATAAATACTCATTTAAAGAAATGGACTAACACTATATAATGAAATAATGATCAAATAAGACCATAATTTGCACATCTAAAAGTCTAAATTATGCAAATGAAACTAGTACGTCAGTACTCAATTGGTTACGTCGAAGTTGGAGTGTGACATACTGATATTATATATGCAAGTGTATACGAAGTAAGTCAAAAAAGTAATGTCCATTTATGAATAAATATTTTCCAATCCGGCCGGAAAATATCTTGTCTTTGGAACGTACGCATCATAATAGCAAAGGACAGGACAGCAACAGTGCTACAACATAACAAGTACAGTAATTCATTTAGACAGGAATCAAAAATAATTTATTTTCGGAGGATCAAAGTTTTCATACTCTTATAAATTGATATCGGGATTCGATCATTCAATTTAGGGGTCGTTTGATTGAGGTTAATAATCAAAAGGAAAGGAAATGAACAGGGCTCATTCCCTTTGTTGTTTCTTGTTTATCACTTTGTCATTCTCTTTACTCATTTTTATTTTTGGGTTCACCCAAAATTATTCTATATTGATTCCCCACCCCCCTAGCCTATTTCCTTAGTGTTAGAATCCGACTCCCTTCTATGTATTAGATGCCCTTTTAATACTTTTCTAGAGTTTACATTATGTTTTCTAGGCCTTAGATCCCATTATTGTGTTACTGACATCTCAGTGTTTACTAGGGATTCTATGCATGTACAACTCTAAGCTCTTTAAAGGGTGAATGATGGAATGAAATCAAGAAGTCTTCTACTAGGTGTTGCTTTGTTTTAATACTTGTCTGTTGTTAGACCTTTATAGATATTGTGTCTTACTTGCATAATTGTTCCGATCCCCTTCTCACCAACTTGATGCTATAAGAACTCGTGGTTCGGTCCCGCTTGTGCCAGCTTTGAAGTATCGCCCGTCATAAGCCCAACCACCCACACTCCGTCGGCAAAAGACGTGAGCGCTCTTGAGTTAAATTGTCCGCTTGTGTTGCTTAGTCTCACAAGCCCCGTTTCCGCACAAAGGCTTGCACTCTTGCCGCCAAAAGGCTAAAGCGCGCCGCACGTTCTGGTGCCCAAAATCCCGGACCGTGACACTTAGCCACCACTACATCACCATACCCACAACAGCCACCTCCCTTCCACCACTACCCTCATCGCCCACAACCACCTCGCCGCCCCTTCCCCGCCCATCGCCCCCCAATAAGCCTTCCCCTCCCTCGAAAACCTCCCCCCATCGCCCTTTTATCTTACCCCCACGACCCAGTCACCTCCCCGGAATTCGCCGCCCCTCGTCGCACCTCCCCCACCCATCACCGGAACTCGTTGCACCTCCCCTCCCTAGAAAACTTTCCCCCCCCCCCCACCCACACATAACCCTAGAAAACCCTCCCCCTTCCCTTAAAATCGTCGACTGCCCCTCTGCCCACCTTCGAAACTCTACCATTAAACTTAATGATTAAGCTTAATGATTGAAGTTCGGGACAAGAAGTTTACATACTATATCACCTTATGGGGGGATTAATAAATTTTTAACCTAGCTCAAAAATAATTTAGATAATTTTACCTTTTTTTAATTGAAATGAGAGTGTTGAGGCAAGTAGGTCGAGGTGCTTCACAATGTGAGATTTACTTTCACACAGTGAGGAACTAAGACTTTCCTATATATGTTAAGGCTCCCGCTGATCCTCCTATGTTTCGTCCAAGGTTATTGTATGAATAAATTTATGTTCCTAATAAATTAAACCTATCATATATTCAAGCATGAATAATATTGTCACTATAATACACCAATGGGCTGTTAGCCTTATAACTCATCAGTGGAGACAAAAGGCGTTAAATGTTATTGTATGTACATGTTACATGCCCCGAACACTGAAAAGTAGCCACCGATTAAGTGATGAATTTAGTGTTATGACCGTGTGAATTGATATCAATTAATTGTGCGATAGTATTTTCTTTAGGCATAAGTTTCATTGAAATATATATATATATATATATATATATATATATATATATATATATATATATATATATATATATATATATATATTTATATGGCCCATATTATATGATTATTTATATGTAATTTTGAGGATGGATGAGAACACTTATCACTTAATTTTCACAAATTTGAAAATGCTCCTCCAAATTTAAATCAGCATGAGAATTTTAGAGAAAGTAACTTAATAAAATTTGTGAGAAAGTGTTGGGTATATGAATTACAAATATTATGTGATAATTATTTTATTAATATAATTTGTACTAAAAAAAAAAAAAAGGAACGAAAAACATGAATGACTTGTTAGTCACTTAGAGGTTAGAGCAACAAAGAGACAATACAAACATGCAATTGATGTCTAACGGTTGGGTCCAAATCGGATGCCTGGTTGCCAGCAATAATGTGCCTTGACTCTTCGGTATTCAATAGAATTTAAAGAGCACATAGAGGTTGTTGCTTGTTAGTTGTTGCACAAACACTTGCACCATAATTCAATCAATTTAAGGGGATGCAATAATTCCAATTGTTATTTGTTACTCTAGTAGTCTAGTTAGTTTTATAAGGGACGAATTTTTAAAGATAACAAAACAACCTAGCGGACATGGCTTGTGTTATGATTTGGGCCGAAGCCTAATGTTGAAGAGAATTTTCAGCATAACTTCTTATATCGTATATGGACTTGTATGATCAAAATAATCAAGTATACAAAAGACTTAAGCAAAAATCTATAAGCTTGTTTAAGTTGAGGTTTATTAAGGGTCTATTTTATTTACCTGAATTTAACTTATTTGATCTTATCTGAATTTATTAGACCTTATTAGAACTTATTTTAGTTGTAATTTGATCTTGGGCTACCCTTATCAGAATTTATTTTTCCTGAACTAAACTTATTAGACCTTAAATAAGTGAAAATAAGGTGAACAGAACAGACCCTAAAGATCCTCCCTTTTCAATAAGTTCCAAGCCAAATTACATTACTTGATCTCATGTTAAAAGGGAGGGTAATTTTGCTGAGCATCACCTTGCTAGATTAGTGTTGTTTAAATATGATTAGGTTTAGAAATCATTATCATAAAAGATGTATCCTCATATGTACTCATAGATAAATTGCCTTTTGATTAATAAATGCATTAATCATTTGCTTCAAAAAAAATATATATTATGGGCGTCCATGCAATATTCGCTACTTCGTGAAAAGGTTATATCCCTACTCAAAATTTTAAATACTACTTCCGTTTCATATTATTTACAACGATTTAACATAAAGTGTGAGTGAAAAATGTCTAATCGTTGCAAATAATATAAAATGGAGGTAGTAAAAATATAGCCTTATATTTTTGTATTTTGAAGCTAGAACAAATTTTAAACGACTACTAGTATAAATGAGTGTTCTATCAAATACGGAGTACTTCATGTAAATGAGTAGTCCTTAAGTAACAAGTCAAGTACGAAATAATATCACATTATCACTATTCAAGCTTATTTACCAAATGAGGTAGAAATTTTTGTCCGAGCTTATATGTTTACAAGTACCTGACTACGAGTAACATGTTTTAATCGAACTTGTTCACGATCCCGTGGTGTTATGATGTTATCTCTCATATTTTCGCGCACTTTTGCTTTCGAAATAGACCACAAAAAAAAACAAAACCCCATTGATGCAGTCTGAACATTCATAGTTAAGCAAACAGAGTTAATGTTTCAAACAATGCTGAAATTCCAACGCCATTTATAACTAGAATTCTTTGATATCCATGTTTCCAGGTTAGATTATCTCTTACCATGAATTCAACCCCTCAATTTCATATCTCTTCCTCTGATTACTATGCTACTCTACTTCAAACTAGCTCGAAATCTAAACACCTATCAGTTGGGAAATCAATTCATGCTCAAATCATCAAACAAGGTCTTTTTGCAAGTGTATATCTTTTGAATAATCTCCTTAATTTGTATGTTAAATGTGGGTTCACCTCTGTTGCCCACCAACTGTTTGATGAAATGCCTGTGAAAAATATGTTTTCTTGGAACACTATTGTATCAGGGTATGCTAAAGTGGGGGAAATGGGTGCGGCTAATTTTGTTTTTCGACAAATTCCGAATCGTGATTCGGTCTCTTGGACTGCTATGATTGTGGGCTATTATCAAATGGATTACTATGAATATGCACTGAAAATGTTTTTGGATATGATTAGGGATGGTGTGTCACCTACTCAGTTCACAATTACTAGTGTTCTTGCATTATGTGCAAATATGAGAGATTTGAATGTTGGTAGCAAGGTTCATTCTTTTGTTATTAAGCATGGACTTGGTAGTTATGTTTCAGTTGCAAATTCATTGTTTAATATGTATGTTAAGACTGGTGATCATGTAAGAGCAAGGATTGTTTTTGACAGGATGGGGATCAGAAATGTGTCAAGCTGGAACTCTATGATTTCTTTGCATATGATATCTGGTGATGTTGATCTTGCTCGTGCACAATTTGAACAAATGGATGGCCGCGACATTGTGTCATGGAACTCTATCATCACGGGATACAACCAAAGGGGGTTTCATATTGAAGCTCTCCAAGTGTTCTCGGAAATGTTAAAGGATTTTTCAATGGAACCGGACAAATTTACGTTGGCTAGTGCTTTATCAGCTTGTGCAAGTCTTGAGAACTTGGAACTCGGGAAACAAATTCATGCATATATGGTAAGGACTAAATTTGATGTTTATGGGGCAGTGGAAAATTCTTTGATCACGATGTACGCTAGGTGTGGAGGTGTAGAAAATGCTCGAAAGATCATACAAAAAAAAGGGATTTCCAATCTCAATGTGATAGCATTCACAGCTTTAATGGATGGCTATGTGAAGCTTGGAGATATTAGGCCTGCAAGAGAGATATTTGACTCATTGAAAGACCGTGATGTGGTTGCTTGGACGGCAATGATTGTAGGTTATGAGCAGAATGGACTTAATGATGATGCAGTATCATTATTCAGATTAATGCTTAAAGAAGGGCCGAGGCCAAACAATTACACATTAGCTGCTATGCTGAGTGTCATTTCAAGCTTGGCAAATCTGGACCATGGCAAACAGATTCATGCTGTTGCAATAAGGTCAGCAGAAGTATCATCCGTTAGTGTATGCAATGCACTAATTACCATGTATGCTAAAGCTGGAAGCATAGTTGGTGCCAGACGTGTCTATGCACTACACCGCTATAGAGACAGTGTTACATGGACCTCAATGATTATAGCTTTAGCTCAGCATGGCTTTGGAGAAGAAGCAATAGAACTGTTTGAGAAAATGCTGGCATTGGACACTAAGCCTGACCATATAACATATGTGGGAGTACTTGTTGCCTGTACCCACGCTGGTTTGGTAGAAAAAGGAAAGAGCTATTACAACATGATGCAGAATGTGCACAAAATTGAACCAACTACAAGTCACTATTCTTGCATGATTGATCTCCTTGGACGTGCTGGCTTGCTGCAAGAAGTACAGAATTTCATTAAGAAAATGCCTATGGAACCTGACAATATTGCTTGGGGTTCAATTTTAGCGTCTTGTTATGCTCATAAAAATATAGAGTTGGCAAAAGTTGCGGCAGAGAGATTGCTTCTTCTTGATCCAGGGAATAGTGGGGCCTTTGCATCTCTTGCTAATCTATATTCTGCCTGTGGAAAGTGGGCTGAGGCTGCTAAAGTTAGAAAATCAATGAAGGAAAAGGGAATAAAGAAAGACCAAGGTCTGAGCTGGCTTCAACTCAAGAATGAAGTACATGTCTTTGGAGCTGAAGATGCACATCACCCTCAAAGAGATGCAATCTATACAAAGATGGCAAAAATCTGGGACGAGATTAAAAAAATGGGCTTTGTTCCAGACACAAATTCAGTGCTACATGATCTGGATGAAGAAGTGAAAGAACATATTCTTAGGCATCACAGTGAAAAGCTTGCTATAGCATTTGGACTTCTAAATACTCCCGAAAACACCACCTTAAGAATCATGAAAAACTTGCGTGTATGCAATGACTGTCACTCTGCTATCAAATTCATTTCAAAGCTAGTGGGCAGAGAAATTATTGTAAGGGATGCTACACGATTTCACCATTTCAAAGACGGTGTCTGCTCATGTAGAGACTATTGGTAGTGTAGATGTTTGGTGATAGGTATGCAATTCTTGTGTGTGGTTCCTTGCAGAGGGTTATCTTATAGCTGGAATTCATAGGGCTGGAGATAGACAAGGTAATGTGAGGATGATGAAAGAGTTGAAAGACCGTAGTTGTGAATGAATGAAGACAAGGGATTGCAGAACCAATTGTTATATGAGGTATAGTGCTGCATAACCAGTTGGAGATTGAGAAAACAGCTTACTGTTTGAATCCATGTGATGAGCATGAAAGGATGGTGGTTTTTACAGTTTACTTATAGTAAGCTCATGATTCTTGATTCTAAACCATTCATGACCATATATACCTCAATAGATATTTGCAGAGTGAATTGTTTGATGCTCTTTGGTTTTTATCTGTCCCAAAACTTGTGCAAGTCCATGCCACTTAAATACTTTATAAAGGCTGTTTACTCATGAAGAAATCTTCCTGTTCACCAAGTGATGTGTTCTTCGTATTGTTGCCATGGTCAACTACTACTAGCCAAGAAAAGAGTTTACCATGGTAAATATCCTAACTCCAACATTAATGACTCCTTGACTTCAGCTTTTCTTCTATTCATGCTGTGTGTGAGGACCTGTGATGCTAATTATACTCTCTTCAGAAGTTTTTTTCGAATTAACTGCAATAAACATAACAAACTGCTGACATTTTAAAGGTAGTATATCTTACAACATTTGTTACGAAATTTGTAAAAGGTATTATCAAAAAATCATTACATTGAACTGTAAAGGCATTGCCCATTTTGCTGTTAATTATTTAGCTGGAACAACATTATGCAAGTGATACAACTCCAAGTAGCACTCCATTCTTGTGATGAACTTTCTTCTCACATTCTCTGTGTATTCCACTATGCAATTTCGTTTTGCTACATTCTTGTGAAACAGGGGAAAAGCTGTATGTAACTAGTATCTGATAAAACAATGAATAGATCTAAACCTTACAGGATTTCATGAGCTTTTAAGGCAAAATCCTTATTGCTAGGCTGAAGCTGTGTGGCATGAAAGTATTTGTATTGTACATTCTGTGCTCAAGTGCTTCAAGCTGAGCCAAACCATGTATCATGGGCATCGAGATCGAATTTGAACATGGTATCTAAGCCTCTGAGGACTGTGTAATGAAGTACCTCTGCAAAACACCAGCCTTTCTTTGGACTTCAGGCTTTCTGGCCTGCATATCTACCAAGGTGAAAAATCTGGTTATTGGCTTCCTGACAGGAAGCACATTCAGAAATATGCAGTTGATGATTTCAGGTCATATTTTGGGAAGTTTGTTTCTTCAAAGCAGTCACACAATAGATTTTGATCCTTATTGTGTGTTAGTAGGTGATGTATGTGGTGGTTTATATGGAATTTGCTGACGATTGCTGGAGCTAATGTGCCATGGTTTGAGGATCAAGAAGATTTTCACTTTTATAGAAGGCGACTTGGTGAGTATGAAATGGAAAGAGGAAATCCTCATTCTACAATTAAGCTTATTGATTTTGTACACATTTGAAGGCAACAATGTTATTGACCATAACTTCTTGGTGGTCTTTGCTCCTATAATTTACTTCAGAGATACCTGGCTACCTACAACACAGATACACAGTCCACCAAACTCAAACAGTTGGATGGTCTGGATCTTACTGCTTCTTGGGTCCTCATGTTTCAAAGAGTTTCAGTTTCGATAAAACTTCTGGTCATTTGCTCCTATATTCATCTTGTTAATCTTATATATCTTGCGGTTCTCAAGCTGTATACACATTTTTGTAGCGGATATGGCTAACTGATTGATGTTAATTTCTTTTGTCTGATTACTGAGATAAGAAATGTAGACATGCTAAAAAAAATACTTGGGGCAAAAAAAGGTGTGGAGAGGTGTGCTGTTTCAGCCTTTTAGGTTGTGTTGGCCTTGTGGCTCTATTTTTGGATGCAAGACTATTCGTTGTTTCAATGTTGAACATTTTAAAAGTTAGTCATTTGGCTCATCGCGATTTTTAAATTATATTATATTTGTATCATTGTATGTTTATATAGTTTGAGAATCAAGAAGTATAAACTAACCCATAAGAATAATGAAAAAAATAAATAAAGAAAAAAAGTGATGGAGGCGCAAGCCCGTTATCCTTCCACATGGGTCAACTCTCAACTTGGAGAGGGCGAGCTAGCATTATGCCAACCACCGATCCGACCGAATTAGCTGTAACCTGTCCCATCACATTAGTGCTCCCACTTGGGTCACAAGCTCGCGTTACCAAGCCCAGCGATATGTATCTTGCTTGTACGGATATATAAAGTGCGGAAATTTTTATAAATTTTTCGATGTGGGACATTTTTAGCTTATCTCATTAAGCTTTGTAACACTCCTTAATTAGCTTCTTTATTTATGTCTCTTTTTGGTCATATAGGTATATATATATTCAGCGTTGCTGGGAAGGAGATGAATCGGCTGTTGATCAGAATATTATGATGTCGATCGTCTCTCAAAAATTTCATGCAGGCCCGAGGAAGGAAAGTTGATCTGTATAAGAGGGAACTTGTGCCTCATTTATGATTTTCTGAATATGTTGTTTGTTTTAAGACGTGAGGTTGCACGTGAACTGAAGATGATAGATATTCATATATTGGAAATAATGGGATGCTAATCGTGAGGAATCAAGGGTTAATTTGAGGATGGACTTTATGCTGAGAAGTGAAATCATGTAAAGAAAGGAAGCTAAGGTAAATTAGAAGCTTGGTGATAATGGCCTTAGAAGAACATAGCTAGGAGACTGCAGAATATGAAAATAATTGAATTGATGGATTTAATTCATATTGGAAAGGCAAAAAAGGAAAAGTTTTGGTACTATATATAAAACTTAGCCGTTCTCAATCGCTTAAAAGCAATTTTCACGTATAAAAGAGGTGACTTTTATGTGATTTAAGGTGACTAAACATGTCGTATACAATACACCCGTTGTATATATTTAAGTCATTAGAGTCGTTATCCAAATTTTATTACAACTCTATTTTATGTTACATGTAATTTTGTGAATTTCAAGTCAAACTAATATTTTCTATCAACGTGGTTTAAGAATAACTAATTGTACGTTTTACCTCTTACAAAGCAAAATCACCACCATTGGTAAGAATACTACATATACACTACCAAGTAGTCGAGTACCAACTTGTAAACTTTGAATGTTTAGTGTATTGCATATTAGATCTGGTTGTTGGGTATGGTAGCTCAATGATAGTAGGGTCAGGGTCAAGGTCAAATGGTTTTTAATGGACATAACCTTTATTGGGTAGGGTCAATGAGCTAAAATGTTTTTCCAATTTAATAGATAATGTAAAAATAATTATATAGATAAATTTGTATTCATATATACTTAATAATGGCTTTGTCCAATATTTATTTTAAATGATATTTTGTTGGTCTGCCCATTATCGACCCGCTATTGACCCGTGACCCGCATTGGCTTGACCCACTATTGACCCTAGAAAATGTGACCCTCTTTGAATCGACCCGCACCAATCCTAACTCAACCCGCCCAATAACCAGGTCTATTGCATATTGATATATGGACTATACAAATTAAAATTTGACAAAAGAAACCATAAATTAAATACATAGTGAAAAATTCTATTAGAAAAGTGATAGTAATCTAAGTGGTCGTTTGGTTGACATGGGAATAAATTCCCATAAGAAACCGTATTTCATGGGAAATTATTCCCTTATTGAAATTCTTAGGAATTTCCATAATTTGATTGGTTGGCAATGTGGGAATTATAAATTCCCATGAATTCAATTGACCAAGGGGGAGCTAGAGAATTTACTTTCCATATTTGTAGGAAGTTGAAATTTCCATGAATTTCTATTTTCTCCACTTTTTACTTTTATGTGTCAACCAAACAACTACCTCATAAGTCACATCAATTCCCATAAATTTTCATTTCCCTCATTTTATATTGGCAACCAAATAAGGCCTAATTATGGTGTAAATGCTTAAAATTCTATCACAAAGTTACATCAAATGGTAGCAAGTGATGCACTTACTAGTTTATTTATTACATAATCCGGTTATTGTTTTATTAAAGTTTGTTTAGAACCAATAGTTGATATTGTTATCAATTTGTCCTAGATTTAAATTTGTAATAATCCAAATTTTGGTTACCAAATTACTTCAAAAAAACCAAATTTCCGCGTGGCAAAATGTAAACGGCCCAATTTAGAATCCAATCCAACAAACGAAATAAACAAAAACATGTAAACCATCAATTGGTTAACCACATATCCAAATATGATCCAACTAGGACCCCACACCAGATAAGGTGTAGTATAATGCATCAAAATCAACCATCTATATTTCCACATTTCTCCTTTCTCCAAAAATTAAACCACCATTGTTATCTAAGTTAGAGAGAAAGAAGAAAAGAAAGATGGCTCAAGCTATGGCTTCAATGGCTGGCTTACGCGGCTCATCTCAAGCTGTATTGGAAGGTAGTCTTCAGATAAGCGGCTCAAGCCGGCTTAGTGGGCCTACTACAAGCCGAGTTGCGCTCCCTAAGCTGGGCTTGAATGTTCGGGCTCAGCAAGTGTCAGCTGAGACTACTGAGACTAGCCGCCGATCTGTGTTGGGCCTTGTTGCTGCTGGACTTGCTTCTGGCTCCTTTGTTAAGGCTGTTCTTGCTGAAGCTAAGTCTATCCCCGTTGGGCCACCACCACCACCATCCGGTGGTCTTCGTAAGTGTCAACTTTGTATTATAAGATGCTCGTTATATTATACTTCCTCTGTTCCTTTTTATTGGTTACACTTTGAATATATTTCTCGTACAAAAAGATTTCATATCTAACCAATCATAGGAGGGAGTAATTTATGGTTTCGTTGCTCTTAATTTGGATTTTGATATACTATTAACAACTTTAAAATACGAGTAGAAGTATGTAACGATTTTAAAAACTTGTATTTAGTGGATAAAGCTAGAAAATGAAGCATGTAAACATTGTTAAAAACAATATGATTTTATTTGATGTATTGAAATAAGTATGATCGAGTGCCTTGGTAAAAAATAATATATTTCGTATGTTATTGGATGGTAATGAAACGAGTATGATCTAAGATAAGACAATAAGTTAGAAATAGACACTTACTCGCTAGTTTGCTTTGTTCAAAGTGTATCTACGTTTAACATTTTCCTAACTTGGTATGTATTGGGCAGCCGGGACATTGAACTCGGACCAAGCAAGAGACGGTACCTTGCCCTACACCAAGGACAGGTTCTACCTTCAGCCCCTGCCTCCAACTGAGGCAGCCCAAAGAGCAAAGGAATCAGCTAAAGAAATCCTCAATGTGAAGCAATTTATCGAAAAGAAGGCATGGCCAGCAGTCCAGAATGACTTACGGCTCAGGGCCGAGTACCTTCGCTATGACCTCAAAACTGTCATCTCAGCTAAGCCCAAGGATGAGAAGAAATCTCTCCAAGACCTCACCGGCAAACTCTTTGACAGTATCAACAATGTGAGTTCTCTTAAGTCTTAACTGGTCGATTTGGCTATCGATTGTAATTTCTTGTGTTGTTATCAACCAAAACGAGTAATCAACCATCAAATTTGCTAATTGATTTACTTTGTCTCACAGCTGGACCATGCTGCAAAGATAAAGAGCAGTACAGAAGCAGAGAAATACTATGCTCAGACTGTATCCAACCTTAACGACGTTCTTGCTAAGCTTGGTTAATTGTATATCGATCCTTGTAACCTCGTGTAAGAATTGAATTCATGCTCCTATATTATGAGGAAAACCATTTTGTAATCAAAACCTTTTTAATTCACGTGTAGTTCCTAATAATCTCCAGGGTCGAAAATGCGCATAGATTTTGTCTGATTACATTTTCAGCCATTACGATTTCAATTTCAGAGATATCCTTGGAATTGAATTTCAACACACTATACATAACACGGGTTTGAGAATAGATTTCCATAAACGAACGATGAATGTACAATCCACAATTCCAAATCGGAGTGACAACGTCGAACTCGTGTTGTAATTCTTGTAAGCCAATATTTTTAGCTAAGGATATACATTATCAATTTTGATCACAACATGAAACTAAGGGCAAATGTGGAGTACTTCATTGTGCTACATTGTATCTATACTCAGTACCATCCAAACACAAATCAAAATAAAAAATAAAGGGTTTTTCTATATAGTAACCCTTTGAATTACAAACAAGCCTCAAAAGGAATTCATGAACAATTTCGAATGACAATAGCTAACAAGGGTGACAAGACTAACAAGGGTGAGTTTGTCCATGTGGAAGGAAGACAAGTACCAACTACATTACTCCTCAAATACACTCGAGAGTCGACTTTCGAAGTTCTTACCACAAATACCAGTTGACAGGGGGAAACAAATCATATACAATGAAAAACATTCTCATCCTGCGCTAAATTGCTACTACTAAACTCGAAGCAAACATAAACAAAAAATTAAAAAAAGAAAAAAGATCAGGCTTTCAGAGAGACAGCCTAGAGTGATCAACTGCATCTAATGATATTTAACATTCTTCTCATACTCCGCTCACGCCTTTAAAAAATTAACATCTCTCAAGACACACTAACTATTACAGTAAACAGGAACTCTAACCCTCAAATAATTGTGAACTGTCAGCATCTTCAACAGGATCAACAAACACAGGAAAGATGGCATTTTCATGACTACAGAAACTAGGATACTACGAGGCACCAAAGAGCGACTGGTTGGAAACAAATAGAAGAGGTACCAGAGGAGAAGTTACGAGGAATTACTTGGAAACAATCAAACAACAATGATGAATGTGTAAAGAGCAAGAATACACCAAGTAAAACAAAGTGCAGATCAAAAGAATATTTCACCTAAGATGCCCCTGAAAAACAAATATGTTTAAAGAAAATTGACCCCTCACATCCCCCTACTTCCCATCAATTTGCCAATTTGCCAAAGATTCCCGCCAATTAAGAAACCAGAAAATGAATAAATAAATAATGCAGAAACTAGACCCTTTTATTAAAACTTGACAGGGTAAACATTGTAGAACTCAAAACATCCATCAATAAAGCCTCTCTTTCTGCCTCCGGAATAATATTCATCCCAGCATAATATCTTCTAATTCTCAACTTCCAACTGCTACATTCATGTATAAAATGTCATGCTTTCAAAATAAAATGTAAAGAATAAAAGCTAAATTATCAACAAATGACAAACTAAGTGGCACGTGTAAACCAACAGACCAAACAACATTCATGGAAGCATCAAAAAGACAGGTACCTTACAATGGCAGAATGAAGGCAGATATTATCATATTGAAAAAGGCAGAAGTTAGCCTGAAGAGCATGGATAAGCAAAAGCCTTGGTTATCACAAGCATCACAGAGATATGAGCAAAGTCCAAGAGTAACTGTTAATACAAATCAATACTGTTGAAAGGCCGAGAAGCACCTTGAATTGTTTTCCACAGCTATGATGAATTTAAAGTAGCATGATACATCAAAACCCTCAGACACAAAAGCGTTTGAATAAATTGACCTCTCTAATTCCCTTCCCAACCCTCAACAGTAAAACAAAAGCCAAAAACTAATAAGGACCCAATCCTGTCTCAAAAGACCAGGAGCATAATTCAGAAACTAAAAACTTAGCCATTAAAGATTGTGACAGAGAACATCACATTTCAACAAGGAACTAAATGACCACAAGAAACAATTCAAATCTCTCCGATAAACCCAATATTCCTTCATGAGAACAAGAGCACCAAACTCCCCTTGCTTAAATCCTTAAATGCCGTGTAACAAAAACACCTGAACATAATTAATGATGACAAGCTCAGAGTCTAAGAGGCATCCAACAGCACAATATCTATATCAAGAAAACAATCCAAACCAAATTAATGGTGATAACTAAGTGACAACTATCCTCCTATGGAAGTACGGATACAAATAGAAAACACAATCAAAGCGGCACAATCAATATGATAATCTAGAATCCAGAAGAGCAAAATTAACTTAAAGCCTTAGTTATATCCCACCAAAAAGCAAAAGCAAGCAACGGCATTATAAACGTACTCGTCTACAAACAGCGAGGGAGACAACACTCACAAGTAGAAGAATAAGAACCAATATCTATACTTGCAAAGAGCACAAGCTTAGTGAAAACACAAAAGCTCCAAAACAGCAAAAGCATGGTAAGAATAACAAGACTAACATTAAGCATTTTACACTATAAGAAACTAAAAATAGACAAACCATAGTCAAAGCATCTCAGGGTATGATCTATAAATCTAAACAAACAACTGAAACCCTAAAAACATCCTAAACATAAAAATTTCTAAGCTTGATTAGGAGAAAAATCATCTCCAAGAATTGAGTAGATCAACAAACCAAATAGTAGCATTCATAGAGCATCAAAAGGACAAGTACCTTACAATGGCAGAATTAAGGTGGATTTTATCATATCAAAACGGGGCACTGGGTAGCCTGAGAGCATAACTAAGCAAAAGCCTTGGTTATCAATACTATTAAAAGGCAGAGAAAGACCTTAAAATGTTTTCCACAACTAAGATGAATGTAAAGGAGCACAAGAGTTTCTTTTCATTCCATTCCCAGCCTCCTTAAGTGAAACAAAAACAAAAAACTACAGGAAAAAGTACCCAAGAACCCAACCCGGTCTCTGAAGACAAGGAACATAATTCAAAAACTTAAAACCTTGCCATGAAAGGTTGTGACGGATAACATTACCCATCAACAAGGAACTAAAAGTCCACAAGAAACAGTTCCATTTCCTCCAATTACCAAATATTCCTTTATGAACAAGATAAACAACTCCCCTTGCTTAAATTCCCAAATGCCATGTAACAAAAATGCCCAAAATAATTAACAATGACAAGCTAGGAGCCTAAGAGGCTTCCAACAGCACAATATTTCCATTAAGGGAAACAATCCCAAGATTCCCAACCAACTTAATGGTGAATGTGATAACTAAATTAATGGTGACAACTATTCTCCTATGGAAGTACGAATACAACTAGATATCACAATCAAAGCGGCAGAATCAATATAATTATTCTACGAATCCAAAAGGAGGCATTAAGCAACCAGAACAGCAAAAGCCTTAATCATAAAGTACAAATGCCTTAATTATATCCTTCATAATAAAAATTAAAAGCCTTCATTATATCCCTCACAAAGTAAAAGCAAGCCACAGCATTAGAAATGTACTCGTCTACAAACCTTGCCATAAAAGATTATGATGGAGAACACCACACAGGCACACTTCAACACGTACCAAAATGACCACAAAAAACAATTCCCATCCCTCCAGTAAACCCAATTTTCCTTCATGAACAAGAACAACTCCCCTTGCTTAGATCTCCTAATGCCGTGTAACGTAAACAACCAAACATAATTAGCAATGACAGGCTAAGCATCCCAACAGCACAATAACTTCATAAAGGAAAACAATCTAGACCAAATAAATGGTGATAACTAAGTGACAGCTTACCTCCTATGAAAGTATGGATACAGCTAAAAAACACAATCAAAACGGCAGAATCAATATGATTTTTCTGAGAATCCAAAAGGAGACAATAGGCAATTAGAAGAGCAAATTTAACTAAAAGCCTTAATTATGTCCCACCCAAAAGCAAAAGCATGCAACAACATTATAAATGCTCATTCTACAAACAGCAAGGGACACAACACTCACAAGTAGAAGAACAAAAATCAACACTTGCAAACAGCATAAAATTAGAGAAAATACATATGCACACCAACAGCAAGAACAAGATAAGGATAACAAGGCTAGCATTTCGCAAATTATACTATAAGAAACTAACAATGACCAAACCATAGTCAAAGCATCTCAAGTTTTAATCCGGAAATCTAAACAACAACAAACTGTACCCTAAAAGCATATTAAACATAAAAAGCCTCTTAAAAGGGACACATCCTAAGCTTGATTAGTAGAAAAATCATCTCCAATAATAGAGTAGACCAACAAACCAAACAGCATTCATAGAGCATCAAAAGGACAAGTACTTACAATGGCAGAATTAAGGTGGACTTTATCATATCGAAACAGGGCAGTGGGTAGCCTGAGAGCATAACTCAGCAAAAGCCTTGGTTATCAATACTATTAAAAGGCAAAGAAAGACCTTAAAATGTTTTCCCCAACTAAAATGAATGTAAAGGGCACAAGAGTTTCTTCTCATTCCATTCCCAACCTCCTTAAGTGAAACAAAAACCAAAGACTAAAGGAAAAAGTACCCAAGAACCCAACCCAGTCTCTGAAGACAAGGGGCATAATTCAAAAACTAAAAAACCTTGGCATGAAAGGTTGGGATGGAGAACATTACACTTCAACAAGGAAATAAAAGACCACAAGAAACAGTTCCATTTCCTCCAATTAACCCAATATTCCTTCATGAACAAGATAAACAACTCCCTTTGCTTAAATGCCATGTAACAAAACCGCCCAAAATAATTAACGACGACAAGCTAAGAGCCTAAGAGGCTTCCAACAGCACAATATTTTCATTAAGGAAAACAATGCCAACCAACTTAATGGCGATAACTAAATTAACGGCGACAACAATCCTCCTATGGAAGTACGAATACAACTAGATATCACAATCAAAGCGGCAGAATCAATATAATTATTCTACAAATCCAAAAGGAGGCATTAAGCAACCAGAACAGCAAAACCATGACAAATGCCTTAATTACATCCTTCATAAAAAATTAAAGCCCAAATTATATCCCTCAAAAAAGTAAAAGCAAGCCACAGCATTATAAATTTACTCGTCTAAAAACCTTGTCATGAAAGATTGTGATGAAAAATACCACACAGGCATACTTCAACACGTAACTAAATGACCACAAAAAACAATTCCAATCCCTCTAGTAAACCCAATCTTACTTCATGAACAAGAACAACTCCCCTTGCATAGATCTAATGCCGTGTAACATAAACGCCCAAACATAATTAACGATGACAGGCTAAGCATCCCGACAGCACAATAATTTCATAAAGGAAAACAATCCAGACCAAATAACTAAGTGACAGCTAACTCCTATGGAAGTATGGATACAGCTCGAAAACACAATCAAAACGGGAGAATCAATATGATTTTCTGAGAATCCAAAAGGAGACATTAGGAATTAGAAGAGCAAATTTAACTATAAGCCTGAATTATATCCCACCCAAAAGCAAAAGCACACAACAGCATTATAGATGCTCGTTCTACAAACGGCAAGGGACACAACACTCACAAGTAGAAGAACAAAAATCAACACTTGCAAATAGCATATAATTAGAGAAAATACAAAAGTGCACCAAAAGCAAGAACAAGATAAAGGATAACAAGGCTAGCATTTCGCATTTTATACTATAAGAAACTAACAATGACCAAACCATAGTCAAAGCATCTCAAGTTTTAATCCGGAAATCTAAACAACAACAAACTGTACCCTAAAAACATATCAAACATAAAAAGCCTCTTAAAAGGGATGTACATCCTAAGGCTTGATAAGGAGAAAAATCATCTCCAATAATTGAGTACAACTACGAAAAACTACCATAAAACACCGCGAATCATCTACCTTCTGCACTGCTCCAATCTTCACAAAAACTTACCACACCGAACTTCTTCTTCGATTCACCTAATGTTTACCGGACCTAAGAGCTTCAATGATCCTCCGCGTCTCCTCCTGCTCGGCTTCAGACCGCAGAATTCTTGCCTCAGCTTGCTTCATTGCCACCTTTTCCCACATCTCACCGATCTCAGCCCTCGCCTTGGCTCCCATCATCTTCAACCCTTTCTTCCTTAACTCCTCCCACGCCACGGCTTCTCCAACCTCCAATTCCACATCTTTCTCATCAACCTCAACAACCTTCCCACTCTTGTCAATCACTTCCTCCTCCTTATCATTCTTCTTTTTCTGATCCTCCACAACAGGCCCAGCATTAGCACCACTCTTAATCTTCAAAACCCGAGCTTTCGAGTTCGATTTCGATCCCACATTACCATTATTAATTTCAGCAGCCCCATTAGTACCCTTTTCATCGTCAACAACAACATCATCCCCAACATTACTATAGTTATTTTCCCAAATCTTTTTAGACAATTCAAAACACTGAATCTCAATAGGGTTAGTAAGCTTCTTCTTCTTAGCATTAAAAAACTTCTTCTTAAGCCTACGAACCTTATCAACAATCTGAACCTTACTAACCTCAACATGCAAAGATTTCTTAATAAACCCATAAAAATCATCAATTTCAATCATGGGGTCAGCCCCTCTTTTAGCCTTAAAATCAATCATACCTTTCAAAATCAGAATTTCATCATCTTCACTAAACACCCTCTGAAACAACTTCTTCGATCCCTCTTCTTGAACCCCACCACCGACGCCGGCGGCGGCGGCGGTAACACTCCCAGATTTCTCTTTCCTCGGCTTCTTCGACGAACTCTTGAGTTCACTCTCCGACGCGCGCTTCTCGGGAATCTGACCGGCGGGGAGAGCAGCAATGGTGTACTTAAGTTTACCCTTACCGAGGGTACCGGATTCATAGCCGGGTTTTGAGATGGGCTTGATTTTGTGCAAAGTGGGTTCGTCTTCTTCATCATCGGAGGAAGAATCGTCCTCGGGAGGAGGCCTCTTGTTGCCGGAGGCGACGGTGGTTGGTGCGGCGGAGGCGGCGGTGGAAGAGGGGGCTTTCTTGCCGGAGGCCGGCGGTGGTGGTGGGGTTGATGGGGTTTGTTCTTCGTCGGAAGAAGAAGCGGCGGAACCAGAATTCTGGTCTTCTTCGAGTTCTTGGGATGAAGTAGAGGCGGATTCTTCGGATGAATCGGCCTCTGGTGGGGCTTCAGTCAAGGGTTTCTGGGCTTTGTTTCGAGCCATTGATGAAGAGAGGAGAGAGAAAGAGAGAGAAGGAGGAGAGAGAAAGTAGAGAGTTGAAAGGTTTGAGGGAGGTTAGATCTACAAGAGGGGAAGGCAGGGAGTTATAGTGGGGGAATGGGGTGCGTCGTGCGAGGCAATTGGTGTGTGTGAATGAGTGTTTGATGCTATCCTATCCTTCCTTCTTGTATGAGGGATTGAGGGGGGCTATGGGAGTTCCTAGGTCACCTAATTGACTATCTTGACTGTAACGGTTTTAAGATGGTTAACTACGAATCTCCGTAGAAAAGGGTTTGGAATAGTGAATTGCTAAACATCGTCCGTAAATCTCCACATAAAGCCCACAAATTTGAAATGAAATGACATTTTTGCCCTCAACATCAAAAACATACTTTCATCTTAAAACACACTGTTATGGCTAATAAACGGGAAGTGGCGGCACCGGAGGCGGGAGGTGGTTTCCCGGTGGAAGTAAACAAAGTCGCCGGATCGCGAAGGAGCCGTGGTGGCGGCGCCCCACCCAGGCGCCACAACCACGGTGACGACGCCTGGTATGCTAGGACGCCACCGCCACGGTGGCGGCGCCTGGGCAAGACGCCATTAGCCTTTTTTATTATTATTATTTTCAAAAAAAATTTAATTTTTTTTTTCAAATTTTCCTTTTTTTTTTAAAAAATGTATTTTTTTTTTTTTTGGATTTTCTTTGCAATTTTTTTCTTTATTATGTTTTTGTTTCCTAAATTTTTTTGTTATTTTGGTTTTTTCTTTCTAATTTTGTTTAATTTTTGAATTTATTAAAACATATTTTCAAAATAAATCATAATTTTGTTTTTTTTTAAAAAAAAATTCAAATTTATCAAAATTCAAACAAAAAATTAAAAAAAAAAACAAAATAAAGCAAAACGAAAAAAAAATAAAAAAATATATATATATATACCTCCACGGTGGCGGCGTCCCGGCCATACGTTCGCCGCCAAAATTGATTTTTAACCACTTCAGACCTCGTTTTCCAGCGACGACGGCGGCTCTTTAGTGTCCTTCGGTGATCCGGCGCTTTTCCACATTTTGGGTGAGAGAAAATTTTGTTTTAGGTTAAAATTAGAACAAGGGCAAAGTTGTCAAAATTTTTAAAAATTGTGGGCTTTATGTAAAAAACGCGGACGATGTTTAACAAGTCCCTTGGAATAACCCCAGTTGTTTGGGGTAAAAATACCCTAAACACGTGGCCCAATGGCCTAGTGACACGTGGCATCCAGCCATTGGTCAGCAGGGCTCCAATCCTCTGCTGACACGTGTCCTCTAAACCCTAAAAGGGGAACCATCCCTTCCCCACTATAAATAGTGGAAGGACCCTCATTAATGGGGGCGGGAACATTGGTTGTTCACATTGAATACTCCTCAAAAAGAAAAACACTTACCCCGAGCAATATTAATTGCAGAATTCTCCCATTACGCGAGAAGTAACTTCCACATTACGTGCACTCTACCTCCCGTATCTTTACTAACTTGATCGTCGGAGGCGGAGCTCCTACCCCCAGGAGTCTTCGTGATTTTGCAGGCACAGGCGTCGAAGGGCATTCTTGGAATTGTAACTCTCCCGCAGGACACATCAAAAAACCCCGAAACATTTGGCGCCGTCTGTGGGGAGAGTACTTCTAAGATGACTTCTGATACTGTGTCACCGAATCAGGGCAAACGGCCTGTGGTCGAGCCTGAGGTCCAGACGGACCATGAAAGTGGCGACGAAATTGAAACATATGTGGCCCCGGATGGGTCTTTCAGAACGAAGCACCCTCGTGCTAAAGATAGAAGAGAACGGGAAATCAGCCAAGCTGCTCCCAACAACCCAGCCGGGCAACCGGCTGGAATTGCCCAAACGGTGGAGGGCTCAGCCCCCGTTACAAGAAACGAACTCATGTCTTTCATGAATAGTTTCAAGGGTGAGATCAAGAGCCTCATCCGGTCAGCTACTCCAAAGAAGGGTCAGCTGGCCAAGAAGCCTTCTGGAAAGAAGGCGGTCAAAGAACGAGTTCCTACCCCTCATCCCAAGCCAAAGGAGGGGGAGGGCTTAAGGTTTGACCCAAGCAGACTCCGTTTTCCTCAAGGGGAGCTGCGAAAGGCCATCCGGCACGTACAGCCGGATGGCTCCAAGAAAACATTCTCAGACGCCCGCACATTTCTCCAAGAGAAGCGAGGTCAGGCGTCTGCGTCGGCCTCAACGTCGACCTTCCCGGACAGTTTCCATGACGTCTCACACAGGCGTACGGGAACGAACCTTAGGAGCCAGACGGGCGAAGCTTCTGCCCGGTCTGGTCCCAAAGTGATCCAGCCTGGCCTATTCGGCACACCGAATGGGTTGGGTGGATCCCCTTTCATGTCACCGGGTCTTTTCGGTGGGCAAGCGCAGCAGCCGTTCCAACCCACGGACTGGCAGCTGCGCCTGCTAAATTTGGGGGAACAGCCAACGGCGTTCTCACCAGAGATAACCCAGGCGGCACAGCCGCCTAAGATCAAGAATGTTTTGGTGGGGGCCTATGATGGCACCACCAACCCAGAAGACCATCTAATGGCCTACTCTAACCTCATGTACCTCCAGGGGTTAGATGATGCCGTCTGGTGTCGATGCTTCCCGGCTACCCTCAAGGGCATAGCCCAGCGGTGGTTTGGTAACCTACCAGCCGGTTGCATCAACAGCTTTCGAACTTTGGCGTACTTGTTTACGTCAAATTTCTCAATGAATATTCCTGCCAAAAAGACTAGCCTCGACCTAGGGGCAATACAGCAGGGCGACCGGGAGGGCCTCCGGTCGTACGTCAGACGGTTCAATCTGATGAGAATTCAGATTCCAGGACTATCAGACGAAGTGGCCTATACAGACTTCTTTCGAGGTCTGAAGGATGGGTCGACCTTTAAGTTTGACCTCGTCCGGAAGAGGGTTGCTACCCTCCAAGAGGCGTTAATTGAAGCTGAAGCCTATATACAGGCGACGGAGCTTTGTGCTGTCAAGCAGCCGTCAGATTATAAAAAGTCTGACAAAAAAGAGAGCCGGCAACAGCATCAGCCGACAAGAAAGGAAGAAAAGAGAAAAGGGGTCTGGGCAGCTGACCGATCAGGACAGCCGGCCCAGAAGATCAGGCGGAAGTCAGAACCATATGTCCCCAAATACGAGTTCACAAAAGATTGCTCCACCATCCTCCTGGAAATCAAAGACCGGATGTCTCTCGACAAACCGGCTGAAATGAAAAGCCCCGTGAATAAACGGGACAAGAGCAAGTATTGCCAATACCACGAGGATGTTGGCCACGACACCAATGGCTGCTATAGCCTCAGGCGGCTATTGGACCGTCTGGCAGATGAGGGGGCCCTAAAATCCTATCTACCCAAGGCTAAGGGTAATACCCAGGCCAAGAAAGGGCAGGCGGCAAAAACCGGCCCAGTAAACTCCGAGACGGATGAAGAGACCATCTTCACCATAGCAGGCGGTTTTGCCGGAGGGGGTCCCACCATCCGGGGCACCAAAGACAACATCAGGAAGCTGGTCAACTCAGTGGATGAGGGCCAGGCGTCGAAAGACATCTTCCCTGAGGTCCTTATTTCTGAAAAGGACCGGGGCAAGGTCAGGCGGCCTCATGATGACCCCATCGTCATCGAATGCAAGGTTGCCAACCAGAAGGTTGGCTGGATCCTAATAGACACCGGGAGCTCGTCTGACCTAATCAGTTATCAGTGCTTGACCAAGCTCAAGTACACATCCGGTAACATGCACCAGGCTCCTCACCCACTAGTCGGTTTTGGGGGTGGAGTAGTGCACCCGGTCGGAAGCATAGATCTTCCGATCCGGCTGGGTGAAAAGGGGCAAGGACGCCACATGATAGTCAAGTTTTTAGTTGTGGAGGAGTTGTCCGCCTACAACATGATATTTGGCCGTCCTACCCTCAACGCATCTAAGGCTGTCATCATCCCGTCCCTCATGTTGGTCAAATTTCAAAAGGATGATGGTACAGTCGGTGCCCTAAGCGGGGACCAGAAGACGGCAAGAGAGTGATATCTCTCTGATGTCAAGACAACTATGGGTGCAGCCGACCAGGGCGAGCCCATAGATATTGATAACTGCGACCCAGCAGTCCCGGCTCCAAGGGCAGCCGGTATGAAAAGAAAGGCGGACCAACTGGCACCCGTCAAAAAGGAGAAATAGCAATCACTAGCCGGGGAAAGGTCAGATGACCAACGACCTCAGCCGGCTGGTGACTGCCTTGATGTCATCCTAGATGACAGCCGTCCTGAAAGAACAGTCAAGGTCGGGACGGTAGCCTTCGAACGGTTGGGAGAAGGTTTGCTCCAGCTGCTGAAGGAATTCAAAGACATCTTTGCCTTTGAAGTGGAAGAGATGCCAGGCGTCATCCCGGATCTTGCTGTCCACAAGCTAGCCGTAGATCCCAAAAAGCAGCCGGTTTGGCAGAAAAAGAGGGATCATGGTGGAGAAAGATCTCAAACGGCAGCGGCTGAGGTCAAAAAGCTGTTGGATGCTGGATTCATTAGGCAATGCTACTACCCGGATTGGGTGGCAAATGTCGTTCTAGTAAAGAAGCCGAACGGTACCTGGCGGATGTGTGTGGATTACACAGATCTGAACAAAGCATGCCCAAAAGATAGCTACCCGCTTCCAAAGATTGACAGCCTAGTCGACTCAACAGCCGGCCATGCGTTAATGAGCTTTATGGATGCTTATTCCGGCTTCCATCAAATACCTCTCTGGAAGAAAGATCAGGAGAAGACGGCTTTTGTCACTGATCAGGGGTTATTCTGCTATACGGTGATGCCGTTTGGGTTGAAGAATGCACCGGCTACATTCCAGCGCATGATAAACACCGTTTTTATCAACCAGATTGGCAGGAATGTAGAGGCGTATATCGATGACATGATAGTCAAATCCAAGCTACAGACGGATCACCTAGCAGACCTGCGAGAAACCTTCACCACACTCAGGCGGCACCGGGTCATGCTTAACCCAAAGAAATGCGTATTTGGTGTTGAGTCTGGGAAGTTTCTCGGATTCTTGATTGACCAAAGAGGCATCGAAGCTAATCCGGAAAAAATACAGGCGGTAATTGACATGAAGTCTCCCCGCACTGTAAAAGAAGTCCAGAAGTTGACCGGTTGTCTGGCGGCATTGG